GTTTAACAGTTGGTTAAAGGAAAGAGAGCTGATAGCTGAAGGCTCTGGTTCTCATTTAGTTTCAAATAATCCTTTGATCTGTGTTCTGTTGAGATGATGTGTTACTGTAAGGTCCCTAAGATATGACAGAGGCTGATAGTTACGGAAGAAGGAGATTACTTTATATTCTGGATTTAACTTGGGGCCATTTTTGTTATATACACCACTTTGCATTTCATCATCGTTTATTATTAATCTCTGGTACTTTTCCACAGTGTTTCTGCAGTCCTGTCTTCCTCCCCTCACCCCCATCCAATTTACCCTCACTGAGCCTGGTTCTGCTGGAGGTCTCTTCCTGTTAAAAGTGAGTTTTTTCTCCCCACTCTCACCAAGTGCTTGTTCATAGGGGGTCATAGTGGGTTTTCTCTGTACTATTTAGTGTCTTTACCTTACAAAATAAAATACCTTGAGATGACTGTTATTGTGATTTTGTGCTGTATAAATAAACTGAATTGAATTGCGCCTGAGCCAAAGTCCCTGTTGGCACTCTTGTGCGACCTGTGTGCTGCTTTGATATTTTCCATCGCAAAATTGTTTTCTACCATATATTTGTCAGTCTGTGATTTTATTGTAATAGCTGTGCAGTGAACCGTGGCTAACAGACGCAGACGAGCGAGATTTCTTCCTTCAGAAACCCTGAGGCAGATACTTGATGCCCAAAGTGACGATAAAGGCAGTCAGTCATTTTTATGTGAAAGGAATTAGCTCCTTTCACATAAAAATGACTGATGATGAACATTTTAGTATATCTGCATAGAAGCAAAGGAATTAATATGAGTATGATAAACAAGCCGAGCAATTAAATGATCCCATTCTACCATTTTAGCCCCTATAATGTCTTGTGAACCAGGATAATTTATATTAACACAACAGATTTTAGATTCAGATGTGTCAGGATCTGAATAATATTAATATTTCTAATCTAATTAGTCATGTTAAGCGGACTAGCAAACATCTGATAAGTAATAAGAATTCCTGATCATATGATTCAGCCTGTATCCTCTCAGCTGTGTGTGGTATTTGTGCAGCAGACATTCAGCTTCCTCCCCGAGCATCTCACGGACTGTACCACACCGTGAGTTCCCCCCTTTCCTCACCCTTGCAGTGGGCCGCTCCCCCTTCTTTACCGCCCACTTTGGTTGAAGCCAAAACAGAACATCATGGCGATTGATGGTAAGTAGGCCAATAACGGCTCTCCTCTCCTTTTAATTAACTTCAGCTGGAAATGATACGTGTCAGCGGTGATTTGCCTCTGCTTGAAAGTGTTCGTGAGCTCAGGAGATGAGTGCTTGGTTCGGCTGGAAGCAGTGAAAGTTGTTTTTTCTAATTTTCTTTAAGGCGGTAATTTCCCTTTGCAGTGTGATAGAAGAGAGGCAGGAGGAAGCTGGAAGCGGCGCTTGCTCTGTTTGTAAAGGTGGTGCTGAAAGGAAAGCTCCACTCCGCTCTTTAAACTGCATGACATTCATTCAGACCGAGCGTGTGTGTGTGTGTGTGTGTGTGTGTGTGTGTGTGTGTGTGTGTGTCAATTTCACGGAACTCGAGCTGTCATTTGGTTTGCAGTCTCGCTGCTGCACGTCTGTGCTT